TTTATTTCACTCTAACGTGAGGTAATATGAATTAAATCCGATTTATTAAACCTCTAACTGTTCTGGTACACAATGGTAGGCAACGTTTGGCGTTTAGATCCAAGTGCCTTGCTGCTCTTCTGTTTCTTTATTTTCTTTCTTCAGAATCTTGCTCTGAGGACACGGCTATGGAACTTCTGACGTCTGGAATAAACTTGATGCACGCGCCTCCTCAATGTTTATAGCAGGCGCTCTACGAGTCTACTTTATAACGACTATAAACTTAATAAGTTAAGAAGCATGCTGTGAGCCAACAAATGTTGTAAATTGTAGATAATACCTGTAAAAATGGCGTGTACCTGCTCACGCAGAAATATATTATTAACAGTGCAATAGGCTACACGACTATACATAACAAGTGAAAAGTACAAATTGTTCGTGTGGTAACGGGTGTTGTAGTCGTGATAATAAAAATAAAGGCTTTTTATGGCAAAAAAATGTCATTGATTAAAAAAATATAGACACTGTAATAACATTCATAAAACTATGAGAATACGTATTAAGATATGTTCAGATTATTGGATTGTGAAGCGTATATTTGAGAGAAAAAAAGGTTGGAGAAGGTGAAGAACAATAAACAAGTAAAGAGTAAAAAAATAATCATAAATAAAATCATTTGTTAGAGCCACAGGAAAGATAAAGATGCTACAAACTTCTTATGAACACAGAGAATTGGATTGTTAGCTCGAATTCCTATAGTTTCTGCTATCTGTAATAGACGAGATCGATCTCCATAGACGAAGCTAGTAGGAATACGATATATAAATTTAAATGGCCTATTTCTGTCTACTACATGACTGCTATTGATCAAGTGTAACAGAATCGAGCTGCATATTGTCTTGACAGTACCTCTTCTTAACTACGAAGGGGGGCGTCGCATAACACTTTGACTATGTTGTCTGGTTGTGCGTCCAATATAGCTTTCTCCACAGGAGCAGCTGAGTTCATAGATACATATTGTAGTAGCGTAACCAGGTAACTTATCCTTTAGTTAAGGATTTACCATATATCGGGTTGAGTACGATAGACAGAAGTTAGCTGCATTATTGTTCTCTAGACTGCCCTAGTCAGTATACCATGTAGCACATCATCAGCACGTCTCAATTGAATCTTAGCTTCAGGAATAGAAGCACCTTACCAACCGTTGATATTGTTATTTTCTTGTTTATAACAGCCAAGTGTTTCCTTTGAAAACCTTGTGGACAACCGGTTTCAATCAATATATTCAGTATAAGCTCTAATTGAATCGACGGAGCATATCTTCCTAGCTCTATATGCATGACATTTGACTAGGTTTTTCTTATAATGAATGAGTCCAAAGCCCAAAGATTAACTGTATTGGCTTGCTGAAGAACATTTCTCATGTACACTTCTACTGATAGAACCTTTTTTTCTGTTTAACAAAACGTCAAGTAAATCTAGTCTACTATCAAATTTTTATCCACACAAATTTGGCTGCTAGATGTTTGTAGTTCTTAGAGTTCTTCTTTTTCAGTTTTCTGACCAGCAATAATGAAAGTATAATCAATGTAGACGGAATAAAACTAATAATAATATTTTGTTCTGAAATAACAGTTCATTATGTGAGGCAAGCCAGTTTATTATTAAAACGTTAAATGAGAAAGATTTGTTCGGGAAAGAGTTCTCTTTTCGGCGAATTCAGTTTCAAAGATGTACAAACGCAAACATGATAACAATTGCAATAAAAAATATAATAAACTTGTTATACATGACGACAACCAAGCACAATAAACAGAGGTATTAAAATATTTTAAAGAGGGAAACTAATGATCGTTTGATTGATAATGGTCTAAATATTCATCAAAAGATAGATAGGAAAATTATGATTGGGAGAGGATGGCTCAGCATGATAAGATAAAATATTGAAATTGAAATGTAATGCAATCAGGAGGATCATAGAAACAGAAATACACCAGTTGGGGGTAGAAGACTTAAGGGGAAGGTGGAAGGTGAAGCAGATGGCTGTAAAGGAATAAGAGAAAAATTTTAACACATTAAGACCATGGTAGAAGGAGAGGTTGAACCAGTCTCTTTTGCACACATAATTCTGGTTTTTCCAGGTGTATGGTTATTGCTTCGGCAATGCAAAGAACATGCAGTCTAATTGCCTTGGGAAGACTTCTACTTACCATGTAGATGACTTTGAACACAGAGACTATCTTGATTGAGTGACCTGTGTTCACAGGGTGTTCGATTATAGAACTTCTTATTGAGCCGTTGCCTCCTCATTTTAGCCACGCCGGACAATGTCCTTGAATTCTTTTGGATAAAGTACGCAATGTCACGGCAACAGAAATTATGCTTATCGGTCACCTCTTTGGGAGGTCCGCTTTGTAGTCCCTCAAGAGAAAACCAAGCAAGGATAGAACCCATAGGTGGACTCAAAGCTATTCCATCAATGTGCCTATAAAATGTTTTATTAAAGAAAAAATGTATGAATTTCCATAATGATTTACCTACAACTGTTGACGCTTCGAACATTATTAATCCCACCAATTTACATCGTTCCAAAAACTTGACAGTACACATGTAATAATCACTAGTTCGGTAGTAGATTTGGCACAAGGATGGACAAAGAATCGAAATTATTAAAATTTAGTTTTTGGAGACGGGGGTTTGGGAATGGCTTTATTCGTATAGATCAAACCACCATCAATAGGTGTTGACAGCTGTTTTAGCATAAGATCAGAGTTCTCTGACGAAATGTGGCTTTGTAATTCCTGGTCCTTTATCTAGTTTGCCCCTGAAATGTTCTTTCGTGGAGAACGTAGTTGATCGCAGTTGAATGAGAACTTAGTCAACCGCACTGCTCGAAGTGTCTATTAATACAACGAGTAGAAGTCGTGTTAGAGAACGGTTAACAGAGGTGCTTGATCAGTTTGTTCGTAACCATTTTAATAGCCTCAGCAGAATCTTTCAGTTTTAACTTGAAAGAATCTGTCAAAGAGTTCGTTATTTGTTCTCAGCTGGGCATGAATCAATGATAAAAGTCAATTAAACCTCATTAGCTCTCACGATGAGTCAAGAAAATCGGTATCGGATATAGCCTACTGATTTATTGGTGTAATTTCTCCTGAACTTAACGTGTGTCCATGAAACTCCCGAATTCATACCCAGGAAACACTCTTACTTTGGTGCAAACCCATCCGATTTTCATGTTCACATCGCCTTCTTATATTTTCGTATGATTTTAAGTTGGGTCTGCTGATCAAAAATATCATAGATATGCCCTTGTACAAAAACCATATCTCAAAGTAAGCTGTGAAACGTTTTTGCAAGTATTCTCAGGCTGAATGGCACGCATACAAACTCAATCAGATAGAAACAAGTGGTATGAACTATCTTACGAATATATTCCTTAGGTACTGGGATATCGCGCTATGTCCTGGGTCAACTTTTATGAATATGATCACACGGGATACCCGGGGTATGGCAGGTGTCCTGCTGCGATATATATGTGCATGTGGCCCCGGCAACTTCAAGATTATTAGGTATTAGTCCGTTGAGTATTCGGAACTCACAAATGTCTTCTATTTTATTACGCTAGTTACTTTCAGTCTATTTTCGGAAAGTTTGGATTTCGATATATTCAAGGCTGGTTAGTTTACGAGTACATCCTACAACTATGCAGTTGATACTGTCGTATTTTGCTCGAAATTTAAAAAAAGATGCAAATATACCTTTTGTCTAACTCGAAGTTTATTTAAGTGTCAAACTACGTCTCACGGTTATAATTAGTACTAAACACATACAGCTCATTCTTACGTAAGTTTTGTTAAGATACCATCTTGAATTTCTTCAGAAATCTAATTATACACACATTTTTATAATGGTTGCATAATATTCTCTATAACTAAACAGGTTCCTCAGTATTTAGAAGAACATTGAGTTGACTTTAAAGAAAGAAGAAAGGAATAAACTTAAATGTAATAATAGCTTAGTGAGCATGTTTGTGTAAGTTTATTGAAATGTCACTGAGCCCTAGTTTAAACATCTGGTAGTCAGGTCACGGAGTAGCAAACAGTTTCTCAATCCTCGTCAAGGTCAAGGACAACCAACTTGCATTGGTTAACTGCACGTCATGGACTGGCCAATACAGTGGTGGTCGCACCCTGTTTCTTATATCTACTCTTGCTAATATAGTTCTGTAATAACGTCGATTATGTTATATAGTCATCATAGTAAACAAAGTGCCCGGATACAAAGAAAGGGTAGTCCAGATCGTGTACTGACTATGAGGTGTGGCTTAGAATTTAGATGGTTGGTCACACCATTCCGTTCTAATTTGAGTAGTCCTCCGATTATACAACACATGACTTTGGCTAGGACCGCGTCCTATTTGTTGAGTGAAGTCAGCGTCCATGTCGGAGACTTACACAGCCATTCAGTGTGAGGATTTGTTTATAACCATAAACTCTTTCCGGCAAGATTGTATCCGTTCTTTAAGTGGGCAATAGAAACAAGTTAACCTAACCACCAGGTTAGGGTGGTTAGGATTAGAGAATCGTATTTTGATGCGTTCCGGGAGCAACCGCAGCTCTTGTACGTTTGTCGAGATAACCATCGTGAGAGAGTATTAGGCCATTGCAACAATCGATGATCGGAGCATGAACAATAACATTTGCAGCAGAAACGACCACAATAATTTGAAAAGTATAAATACAACTGAGTAAAGTTCATCAGGGGTGCAGAACAATTACTAAGTATTAAAAGTGGGTAAATTTACTTCGATACATTACTCATACTGACTTCAGATTTTGTAGTATAGTGATTCAATAGAATTATGGCTTCCAAACAAATCATGACCAAACTGTCATGGTCTTAAGTTGTATCAGTCAGCGAAGAACAATGTCAATGAAAATCTGCCTGGTGAGAGCAGCACTTAAGAAAGTTAAAAACAACTACACTTTTTTGTTTATTCTATGCGAAAACTTTTATTTGTAAACCTGAAGGTTGTAGCAATTTCGAATTGTCACACTCGTGTGGTTTCTGGTCTGATGTCTTGTAAACGTGTTCTGTTGTACGGCGGTCGTGGGTGTTTAGGATCTGTTTGCGTCAAACATTTTAAAAATAAAGGTTATGTAAGTCACATGATTTTGTAACCATTAGTGGGTTTGCTCTGTCGATTTCCAAGAGAACTCTGATGCTGATGAAAATATTGTTATTGAAGTTTCGGAAAGCAGTTCTACTCAGGAAAGAATGGTGAAGAATGGTTTAGATACGTTTCTAAGCGGTCAAAAAGTTGATGGAATATTCTGTGTTGCAGGTGGATGGGTCGGTGGGAGTGCTGCTAGCCGTGGTATATGAAAAACACTATAACTTATTCATAATATTTCTAGACTTCTTGGAAAACTGTGATGCAATGTGGAAAAAGTGCGTTTGGTCTTCATCTATTGCTGCATCATTGGCGTCAAAGTATCTTTTGGCCAGTGGCCTATTAGTCCTTACCGGCGCACATGCTGCTTTACAAGCCACTCCAAGTAGTTACACCGATAGTTTGCTGTTTATTTATTCCGAACCACTTTAAAAACCTTTGTATCTAGGACAGTAGTTCCAGAATTACTGTTACACATCAACTCCAATGCCAAGGATGTGTTAAATTCGAACTTTTGTCGCCAAAATTAATTGTCAGATAGTCTAAAATGACCTAAACATTGTGAGAATAATCAGGATTTAAGTGTGTTATAGCTTGTGGATTAAATGCTGGTCCCATATTGTATCAAGCATGTTAAAGGAAGACTTGTAGAAAGCAGACTTAATTTCTTTTAGAATGCAAATGCTTTAGTTTCCATTGCTTTCTCCACAGAATTCGTTGGTGTTCAGGACATGTTATTTGCCAACAGTCGTTTTATTTTGTGCCAGATATGTACTGAAAATAGTGCGAGTTATCTTTCGCTATTCTGTGATGTAAGATGTCCTTACAAGTCGTTCATCTTTGTGTTTTGTGACAGTGCTGAACAGACGAGAGTGGATGTTAGTGAATTTTTGTCACATGTTTTCCATCAACAGTTGCATACAATTTCAAATATTAGTAGGGTCTATCTGCATTGTATTAACACACTTTCCTTATTCTCAGAAAGGGTGTTTGTGGATATTATAGTAATTCAATAATTGAGTTCATGAGTCAATTGATTTTATTTCGTATTGTGTACCGAACTTCTCATTTGTATCAAGTTTTATTGTATACACTCTAAAAATACTTGTTTATACAATACGTTTCTCTCATTGACTTTTCAAAAGCGTTCGTAGGTATTTGGTATTGTGCTCATGAGTCACTGTAATTCGCTCCAGACGTTTAAGCAAATAATTTGTGAAAGTAAACCTAGACCACATTATTTTTGATCACGAAGACTTGTGGTGTGGGAATGCTAATGTCAAATGAACAAAGATTTAGAACTAATGCTATAAAAACTATCTGCCATCGTCTCATAGTTTCCATCAAGGCAAGCTGTACCCAAGATCACTTTTAACGTTATTCATAATCAAATACTGGTTATAAGCTTCCTCGTAAACTAATTGATAGTGTCACTTTTTGTTGTACTATCAGGACAGTCCTTTGGTATTATCACGATGGTTTAGTAGTCATACTTCACCATTGGCAAAACATTTTCAAGTAATATAGATATATTAGGTCTAATTTTCCAGGAAAGCGGTAGTTGTAATATAATCCATTTTTAATTCACAGTCACGTTCATCAATTGTATACCGGGTTTCAATATTTGCCCTTAGTTTTATATGTGGTCTTTTGGTGTGTTGTAGCTATGTTGGGTTATGGCATGGCTAAGGCTGCAGTACATCAGCTTACAAAAAGTTTGGCAGGTCAAAACAGTGGACTTCCGAATGGTTCTTGTGTGCTTGCTATCTCGCCGTAAGTTATTTTCAGTTGCTCATAATAGATAATACTGGATGTAGTTTTCTTAGTAAAGCAAGGGTTCTTATTTTTCTGAAGTGGTCATTCTGAACGCTAAATAATGGTTATGGTTAAGTGAACATTTATGACTATTAATCAATTTAGATGATGTAGGCTGAAATCATTGAGGTTAAATTTTACAGACTAACCATAAACTATTGTGTAGTCAGGAGTGGTTCAGAAATTATCATTTTGTTCATATGTTCTTATTGTCAGTAAAAAATTGTGTAAACCCATTTTTTCACATTCAAGTCTGATATCAACTAGTACTTCATTGACGTAGGGTTGACTTGCCAAATTTCGGTAGTAAATATAAACCACACTTCCAATCTTGATTTTGGTATCTGCTTCGTATATGCACTTTCCAAATCATTGGCATATCTCACATAGGCTAATATGTTCTAATTCGAGTTTGTCGACTCAACCTTTTTGGATCTTGATGCACATACATATCAGATGATTTTTCTTGCTCTCAATAATTCCATATATGTACAGCGATGTCTACCACTTCGTGAATTTTTATCATTTTATTAACAGAAATGCGATTTGGTAGGAACGATGATTTAAGATCCCCTTTGATTATTATTATTTATTTATTTTAACACATAAGTTTAGGTACAGGGTGGCACCAAATACATATGCGCCACACAAATCTCAATTGATTTGTGTGAGGGCTGTGATACTGCCCGGGTGCCCAAACCGAAGCAGGTGGTTTTCTTAGGGGGCCACACCCCGAGCCTTTGACCTGAACGTTTGACCCACAAGGCAGTGGAGCATCGTGAGGAGATGCAGTCCCATGGTAGCCGGTGACCAATGATTGGTTCATACGCCATTTGTTCCTTCAGGATACTGGAGCCCATGTGCACTATTGGTTTGGGGTCCGGTTAAAGCGCCAGACATTCGCTTTTCGTCCTCTCATTTTCGTAAACAACACCCCCGCCACGAGAAGGCAGTGAGTAGGACTTCCCTGGCAGAGGCTATATACGCATGGCCATGTGAGAGCATTCCGAGAGGGAGAGCGGACTCTCCCCACTCTCGGCCGTACCAGGGCATTTGGGGGATGGTTGAGGCTGAGTTTGAGATAGTGGTTGTTGTTGTTGAGATTGAGGTTGATGTTGAGGTGTGTGTGGACAGAGAGTTGTGAATGTGGCAGACTGAATGCGACAGACTGACTGTGGGTGTGTGCAGTGTGGACGTAGAGTGGGAGGACGGTGAGTATTGTTTGGTCAAAAGCCGTAGCGCCCGATGGGGGGCTCGAACCCCCGACCCTCAGATTAAAAGTCTGATGCTCTACCGACTGAGCTAACCGGGCTCCTTTGATTACTAACAGTTTTTTTTGCAATTTCCAAAAGTTGTTTATTTAACCAGGTACCAGATAAATGTTATCTAAGCCTCTGCTGTAAATGTATTCAGAGGACTGTTACATCTTTTGTAGGTCTACCAATGATTTTTTTACAAATAGCTGCCTGTTAGATGTTTAATTTCTCGGTCTACTCTACTCCTTGTGGCTGTGTGAAAGCTAAACATCGTAGTGATCAATGTAGGTCTGTTTGTACCACAGCTTATTAGCTTAGCTTGTAATTACCATGTATGTTATGGTTTTGAATGCTTGGGCTAGTGCTGATTCTCATAATTAAGTGTAGGTTATAAATTACCGTATTGATAATCTGTCAATTTCGCGATTTACATTCCGAATTATTCTAAAGTAATCTTTGTGTTTTACTTTGTTCAAGTGAATGATCTAACTTTGTCTATTATTTTAGAGCAACTTTGGACACTCCAATGAACAGAAAGTGGATGCCTAATGCCAATTATTCGTCTTGGACTCCTACAGAAAAAGTCGCAGAGTAAGTTTAAATTGAGTAGTTGCAAACATGTATCGGACTAAAAATTTCGATCATTCACTTATTCTACGATTCCAACTAGCTTTTCACAAAATCATTGAAACTATGTGAATAGCCTATAAGTAGTAATTATTAAACGACCGAGTCACATAAGTACAACACAAAGCCAAGAAATCTCACCAAATCTTAAAACTTAAACCTGATAGTGGATGTTCGATCTATAGTGCTAATATCAATTATATTTGAAACTTACTAAAAGAATTTTTAATCTGACCAAACTGTCATCCTACAGTCTCTGAAAAATACTCATCAGCAAGTTAATGAAATGTAATAAATTTTAGAGGAACTCAGCAAACTCTTTTGTATGCTTTGTAATTTTTGATTGTACTTCAGACACCAGGATTCCTCATATTTGGTAGTATTTTGAAAATAACACCAAAATTTCCATTAGTGTGGCCATTTTACCAGAATAAATTAGTAATAACTCTGATTGTACAGGACCTTATTTTTTCATATCATCAAAAGCAATCGATAATTTAGACTGTTGGTTAACACTGTTCTCAAAGCTAACTTAATCATGATATCATTTATACACTACTGGGATCTCTTTCAATTCGTCCGAACCACCTATAGCAAGAAGTCTAGTGTGAGTCAAAAAACCTGTGAAGCTGATGGGCCCCAATTAGTAACACCCACTGATGTCCCTAACGATGGACAGAGTTCTTCAAAGGTATAAATCTACTTCCCATTACATCCAAACTATTGGTTTCCATCATACCTCGCAGATTTTTCTAAACCTGTAGAAGACTGACTCACGGATACCAGATTGGTCTTCTCTTTGAATGAGGATGTATTGATCACATCTGCCGAGCGTTGGAACACCTCTGATTTTTCTGCAGGTCAATAATCGTTGTGTTTCTTGACATTAAGGTCATCTATTAGTTGGAAAAAAATTTCCGGGATTGTCTGTTGAACAAGAGTGTTGCTGAGAAGTTTGTTTTGCATCTTGAAGGATATGTATATAAACACCTCTCCATTGTTTCATTCAAGAAGTGAGGTTAGACAGGGTTGACTAGTCTCACCATTCCCCTTCAACTTCGTCATTGATAACGTCCAGGAAACAGCTCAGATGGAGCCCCAAATGCCCTGGTACGGCCGAGAGTGGGGAGAGTCCGCTCTCCCTCTCGGAATGCTCTCACATGGCCATGCGTATATAGCCTCTGCCAGGGAAGTCCTACTCACTGCCTTCTCGTGGCGGGGGTGTTGTTTACGAAAATGAGAGGACGAAAAGCGAATGTCTAGCGCTTTAACCGGACCCCAAACCAATAGTGCACATGGGCTCCAGTATCCTGCGGGAACAAATGGCGTATGAACCAATCGTTGGTCACCGGCTACCATGGGACTGCATCTCCTTACGATGCTCCACTGCCTTGTGGGTCAGACGTTCAGGTCAAAGGCTCGGGGTGTGGCCCCCTAAGAAAACCACCTGCTTCGGTTTGGGCACCCGAGCAGTATCACAGCCCTCACACAAATCAATTGAGATTTGTGTGGCGCATATGTATTTGGTGCCACCCTGTACCTATACTTATGTGTTAAAATGAAATGAATGAATCAGATGGATGTAGGTAATAATGTGGATCTGTTACCCGGGAAAAACTTTTCGACCTTGATTATGTGGATATCTTCTTACTGCAAGAATATACTCAAATTACCCAAATCTTACTTAATCAGTTGGCAATCAGTGTCCACGGATGTGGCATGTACTGTGTACTTTCTAAGTGCAAAGTGCTCTTACAAGACCAGTGGGTACATGTGCCAGCACTCACTCTTGGTAGTGAGCAGATATAAGTGGTCAAAAAGTCCGTACGTTTGGGTAGTCATGTAAGTGCTCGTGGTGGTGTTGTAGTGAACGAGAACACAATCGGGGACAACCAAATGTACTTGAACACAAAATTACAGAATCTCTTAGTAAAATTTGAGAACCATACAGTAAATTCTTCATTTGCAACATATCAATCAATTGCCTCAAACTTGACTGTTCCTTTCCCACACTAATCACTTTTTGTTATCATTCTCTTCGATCTTCTGTCTCCAGGCATTTCTTTCGATTGATGATACATACAAATTATATCTATCTACATCAGCAGCACATACCAGTGTGACTGGTGGAGTTAATCTGTGTGTACTGAAAGTTTGAACTGCTTTTGCGAACCTGAGCCATCTGTTTCGCTGCCGTGGTGTTTGTCTGGCTGTGAAAGATCGAGTCTACAACACGCGGGTTAAGGCAGTTTGTTCCATGCTTCCGAAACTCAGCCTCTCCGAGCTGAAGATGTTAGACAACCCTTCGTCCTATCATCGCTGTTTCTGAAGGATTGTTGACATTCAGTGGCAACGATGTGTTAGTAATGATGATGTCCGGCAATGTATGTTTATGTATCGTGGCGATAAATAAGCTATCGTTTCCATCTTGAAATACCGGCTTCTGTAACTTGAACAAATGTTATGAATGTCATCACAGTGTCTTCCGTACTGTGTTTCAATTGCCAACTGAGTGACTGTTTGGAAAAAAGCTGATAGGTGTTTAGTTACTGATATCGTACAGTGATATGAAAGTTAGTTGTATAGGACTGGTATCGTCACGACTTCCAGAGACTGGTCAAAGGTAAAGAAGGAAAGCCAATCACTGAAATTCAAGAACAGAATAACAGATGGGTGGGATAATTTAAAAAACTCTTGAATAGACCAGCTCCATTGAATCCACCGGACATCGAAGCAGCATACACAGACCTTCCCATAAATATCACTCCACCAACGATCGAATAAATCAGCATAACCATCCGACAAACTAAGTGTGGGAAAGCAGAAGTACCATATAACATACCAGCTGAAGCACTGAAGTAACTGCAGAGATGCTTAACGTTCTATTCAGTAAGATTTAGGGGGAAGAACGAGTGTCACTGACAGACTAGAAAAAAGGATACCTCGTCAAGGTACCAAGGAAAGGAGATCTGAGCAAATGTAAGAACTATAGAGGCATCACACTACTGTCGGTACCAGGAAGGATTTTTCAATAGAATGTGACAAGACTGAATGAAATTCGCAGATGACCTGGCTCTTCTATCCCATACACACCAAAAAAATGCAGCTGAAGACAGCCAGTTTAGCAGAAGCCCCTGCAGCAGCAGGCCTCAACATACACAAGGGGAAAACCAAGATCTCAAAATACAACGTGGAGAACAACAACCAAATCATACTTGATGGAAAAGTACTGGAAGGGCTCAATACTCTCACGTACCTGAGAAGCATCATCGACGAAGATGGAGGATCTAATGCAAATGTAAAGGCGAAGATCAACAATGCAAGGACATTCCTACGACTGAAGAACATATAGAACTCGGAACAACTCAACCAATTTCAAAGTCAGAATCTTCAATGCAAACGTCAGTGCAGTTCTATTGTACGGAGCTGAAACGTGGAGAACTACTACAACCATCGTCAAAAGGTGGAAGTATTTATATAACAGTTTTCTGCGCACAATACCCAGTGCTCGTCGACCGGATATCGTCGGCAATAAAATGCTGTGGCAAAGAAAAAATCAGCTTCCAGATGAAGAGGAAATTAAGAAAAGAAGTTGGAAGTAGATAAGACATACATTGCAGAAATCATCAAACTGCATCACGAGGCAAGCGTTAAGTCAGAATCCTAAAGGGAAACGGGAAAGAGGTAGAACAAATAATACATTGCTTTGAGATTCGAAAGGAGACATCAAGAGGATGAATAGAAACTGGAAATAAATGGAAAGGGTTGCTCAGGACAGAATTCGATAGAGAATGTTGATGGGCGTCCTATGCTCCCTCACGAGGGGAAACAGTAAGTTATATATTTATATCTAACTAGAAATATGGGATTGACTGAAGATGAAATGTTAGATAATTAAGTCCTGATTTGGTCTAAATTTATCGTTCTGCCGTCGAAATCTGAAAAAGTTGTCATATTTATGATGGGCTCATGAGCCTACATTTCTGTGATGCCTAAAACTAATTGGAAGTAGTCGCCAATTGTCTCGTGGTTTTCCGCGGCTCTTAGGTGATATCAGTCTATAATAAACACTAACTTCAAAATAAATCCTTTAATCGCAAGTAGCCTATTTTATGCTCTTTTGCTGATGTGTTGAATTACTAGTGCCATTTTAAAATTATGCTTTGAACATGTGATTTCATTTGATAAATTGAAATTTCATCTTACTCTTTTATTCTTATAGATTATTTGCTACATGGTTGGAAGAAGCTAACAATCGTCCTAAATCTGGAAGTATCGTTCAGTTAATCACACAAAATGGTATAACAGAATGTGTTCCAGTTTAATTCGAATATAAGGATCTCTTACGTCAATTTCTAAGTCATAATCCTAACTACTATTTCCACCGTTTAATTTACCAAGTGTTCGAAAATCCTTATTTGGTTTCCTTTGCCTCAATGGAATTAAATTGCACCAATACTAAATACATTATTACTATTGATTACGGTTTAACTTTTTCTTGGCTGAACATGATTCATCAGTTCCATATTTAATTATCAGTGTACAACGAAAAAAACAAAGTGAAACTGTCAAATAAATTTTAAGTGTTTCTTGAAACATGTTTTCTAGAGAAAAATAATTTTACCGCATGGTGTTTCGTTTATTGCTCATATTTACATACTTAGGCGTGTTACACCTGGAGGAGCCTAGGTCGCCGACCAGGATTTTCCAACGAGTTCTAGCTTGTCCTCTCCATTCCAGTTGTTTCTAATCTTTATTCATTCTTTCGATACCTATCTCCAATTTCCGATCGAAGAGTTAGGTCATCTGTGATGTCCAAACCGACTAGTTGCATCTAAGCTGTCAATTGTATTGCGTGGTTCCCCTGAGACGTAGAAGTCTTGACTAAATTATGAAGACCACATCTCAGGGGAAGCACGAAATAAAATTGACATCTTGGATGCAACTAGTCGATTTGGATTTGCACATGGCTCAGCTCTTCTATCCCATGCACAGAAACAAGCGCAGGTAGAAACTGCCAATGTAGTAGCAGCCTCTGCAGCAGGAGGCCTCTGTTAATGTAGCGTAACAAATAGTTCGTGATAATTTACAACCAGTAATAATGATATAGAGGACTATCCTTCTAGAGAAAGACATGCAGTGCAGTGGTTATTGAATCGTTTGTATGCCATTTTTTTCTTTAAAAATAAAACAATCACTCAAATCCCTGAAGCGACTATAATTTATAGAAGGACCAGTCGGATTTAAGATATCTGGTCTTGGATTTTGACGCAAAATATACCCACTCCTTTGACTAAATATCATTTTGGCATTGTAGCTGACGTCACTTTGTGATGAAAACACTTAATTTAATGTCTAATCATAACGTCCAGCTGTGAATCCTAATATCTAACCTTCATTTAACCCTAGAAAGTAAGTGGACATTTTCAAGGTCATTGTGGCGTCGCTCAAAGATCGTCCATAAATTATGTTCTCACGGAGATGTCTTGATATATCTAATGTATTTAAGAATGTAGTATGACCAACCACTCTTGATATATTATTCAGTTATCTCAAGTAATAGTCTTGATAACTGTTTTGTAAAGATTAAAGGTTTGCGGATCCACGCTAGCAGAGATTCCCATACGAGAACAAATCATCTGCTTGTTGCTTCTTATTTTCAATGATACTCTAGCTGAAGTTGATAGATTACTATTAACACCCAGAAATTCAGACAACACGATCTTCAGTCAATCTGTTGTTTGTAAATGGCTAATCAAAAGCTATGAAATTCCAGTTACGTGCTGCTGACCCCGTCTATGAATCCAAGTTTGAATTTTTCATATTTTCGTAGCAGCAAACAGGTCAAAGTGCTACTTTGCCAATTGTAAATACTAGTTACTATCAACAAATTGAGAAATAAATTTCTAAACTCTTGAAAATATCTGCGAAACAATCGTTACACACGAAAATTTATTAATACATATGCAGTGTATTGATGCAATAGTTATTGGAAACTTTGGAATTATTTGACATTCTAGAAGCCTCTTCACTTAGCGCCTATACCATAAATTCTATTTATATTGTGCATGTTTGGTGGTAGATATTAACTGGTATAAAGCTCACGTTCTATTTGAACAATGAGTTGCATCCAATTTTGACCTAAACTTTGGCAGCAGGCTGACAGAAAACTCTACATCATCATTGTTTACTATATGTTACTTATCAGTTCAGTTTACTTGTGATATCAAGGAGACATATACTAGTCCACTTTCAATAAAACTCTGAAAAGTAATTTTTAAACATAATGGGATAGAGAGATTGAAAGGTCATAGCTATATACACAAGATATAGATACACTTCAGAAAAAAACTGCAAATCTGTAAGCAAAAAGAAGCTGTCACTACCAAGGTTAAACTCGATATATTCAAATTGAATGATAACCTGATAGAAAGTTATAGATAAAAATAATCCATCTATCATAAACCAATGAGTAGAAAAATGACGTTTGTAAATATCCTAACAAATCAAGACCCAGTGTACGCCAGTGAAAACAAATCTGAAGAACTGACTTGGCCAAGTCACGAAACCACAAACTACATTTTCTAATGTATAAGGCATCTGCGAGCAATCTTCACGGTAGATTAGTCCTTCAATACATTGTACATTCGATTTGTTGTGATATTTAGATTTTTATCATAATGGATTTAATATAGTAACTGGTTTCAATGTTATCGTTGACTATAACGTTTTTGATATTTCAATTACATAGATGACTCCCAAATGATTGACTGGCATGGGGAACAATTCTGAAATAGCTTTTTTTTCCTATTACTGATACTAGTAACGAATTCTCTATGAAATGAATATTACTATTGTTAAATTCATTCGGAAATATATACATTATAAATCCTTATCATCTTTTTTTCAACAAAAAATGTGTGAACTTTGAAATCAAGTCAGATAACAAATAAAAATAAACGGAAGCAGATTTTACGATACAGGAAGAAATCAGATTTCAGTCTATATTATTCAGTAGCTAACCACTCGATTCATGTTTATGATTTCTGCTCTGTCTCTGTTTGTTTGTCAAAATAAATATAAGATTATTTGGTATATTTAGAAATGAAAATATTAAAATGTAACAGACTTTTGAGAATGAATGGAAAATGTTATTAGGAAGTGGAGTATTTGCAATCTCATTATCGATCTATAGACTTGTAGTTTACTACTGAACAATATCAAACGCTCACAGTATGTATAATTATAGTACATTAGTGACTGACAGAAGAGGCAAGCTGGTGGGTGTTTGTCTGTCTAACTGTAAATTTTAAGTTGTTGTATGGATGAAAATCGATTATTTCTGTAAGTAAATTTATCAGCTGATGAGTTTATCATCAAAATAGAACAGGAAAGTTACTGTGTGTTTATATAGGTTAAGTACTATTGTAATTCAAATGTTAACGATGGGAATATAAACACTTTCACATACGGAAATTCGTGAGGAACCTCTGGTTCCATATGTTCTTATGATTGTATGGATTTAAATGTGAATGTTCCCTCTTGTTCTTTAAATAGGTATTATGATTCATCAAAGGATTCAGTTAATCAAATTCTGACATGTATTACGGAGCACTGACTAATCTTGATGGTACAAACATAGAAATAATCTAAAGACGTTCGTTGACAAACGTATGGATTTATGTTTCTTGTGCTACTTTAAGCGACAACTGAAACTCGATCTAAGAAATCAGTCAAAGCAACACGTATATCAGGCTGCAATACCCACTGTGATACTAGTAACGATTTCGTACGGCCTTTTAAATAGAACATTTAATAAGTGAAGCTGGAAGCCGAACAAAACGATAGTGTGTTAATCATTAAGTCACTCATTAAATGCACTATATATATCGTGTTTATGCGCAGATTCATTTTACTGTGCAGATATTTGATTAATCTAGAAAATTAGTTGATTTAATGGTGCAACCCACTCTGTAAATTAACACCCCGACATATCATTCTTTTTTATTTGGAAATCTGTTTAATAACGTTTATTAGTTGTATAATGCCCATATACTATTACAGAAGGATGGAAAACTTTCGTTGTGTGCTGGGAATAGTTAACTAAAGATTATCTTTGTAATAGTGCATACTTTAAAAATTCCCACTGACATTCATTCATGACGCTAACTTGAATTCTATATCAGTTGGGTGGCTTGATTATCACTTTATTGAAAAGATTGTTAATTTTCATTCTGTTTTATTATTATTATTATTATTTATGACTATTTTCAACACAAATACTAATCAGTCTTAACAAATGTGTCGCTTGTTCATACTGTTTGAACTGAATTTCATTGATTAGGACTGTTTGCTACTAATGAGAAGCCTAGAGATATGATGAATTCATTGTGTCATGCAAATCTTGTTAACTCTTTGTGTGAAATATTTGCCATACATTATACAATAATAACTAAAACACCGTTAAAAGACAATATATCACATCCCTATGTAATAGTATATGGGCATTATACAACCAATAAACGTTATTGAACAGATTTTCAAATAAAAGTGAATGATAAGTTGGGGTGTTAATTTACAGAGTGGGTTGCACCATTAAATCAACTAATTTTCTAGATTAATCAAATATCTGCACAGTACAATGAATCTGCGCATAAACACGTGATATATATATATATATATATATATATATATATATATATATATATATATATATATATATATATATATAGTGCATTTAATGAGTGACTTAATATTTAACACATTATCGTCCCCATCAGCTTCCAATTTCATTAACAGAATTTAGTTTCAAAAATTAAAAATATTTGAGCGAACAATTGTTTTCAATAACTTCATCATCAGGCTCTACAGTTATAAGTCCATAATTATTGTGATATTTTACAAAGGCCAAAAATAAGGCATGTATTAATGAAATTTGACAATGTTATGTGTTAAAAAATTGGTGCACTTTTGCATCTGTTACGATATATATATATACTTCAAAATGGTATTATTTGCAAATTAGAAAGGTCATTTAATAAAGGTCAAGCTGATTTGGAGTAAAGTGTTCAATCGAAATAAGTAGAATAGTTTCTCTTCAGAAAGCAATATAATCTCGAAATTTGATAGGAGTTGATTTCTTCTCGTTCTCTATCGTAGACCTACAAATAGATATTAATAAATACTTCGTCCGTTTGACTAAACTATTCTCAATTAAGAAGTCTAGAAGTATTACAATAATTAGATTCAAACCAGACCACGAGTAACCTATTTTGTTTTATTCAATAAGTGACATTCGGAACATTCAAAGTCACTCTCAATCTCCAAGCTCCACTTTGTGAATAAATTTGTTTTAAATAATTGGAATGGAGAATTCGTTCCTTTATAAAATGACAGTAGTTCAACTAACCTACTATTATATCATGATTTTAAATCTTAATCCAACTATTTTTCGTCCAGAACTTATTTTTATTTGGGCGGAAATTTACAATTTAAATTTAGTACTTTTAAGGCAAGATACTTTAAAACATTTGTTAAGTATTTGTACATTTTCTAATGTATAAGGCATCTGCGAGCAATCTTCACGGTAGATTAGT